AAATTTGGAAAGATACACACTAAATTTTACTGCCTTTATTTTGGTGTGGTGGAATTACTGTTGCTATATACACTTATGTATTATTTGATATTTCAATAACATGAATTATTCATGTAATGAGAATAGGAGACAAAGAAATATCCACTTTGCTTTAAAATTATGTTTGCTAGAGGTTTTAAATGACTAAGGTAAATCCTTATGTTATGATATTAAATGCAAAAGCAGGATATGAAATTGTATGTAAAGTCTCAGATATATAACAAAAAATGCAAAATATATGCCAAAGTGAGTAGCAGGATTTTAAGTGACTTTTTTTTCCTACTCATTTATAGCTTGTCATACTTTTCAAAATTTCAACACTGAATGTGTATTCATTTAAAAATAAGAAATAGACAAACATAAAGCTTTACAGAAAGTGTAGAATTACACGCAAAAAAAAAACAAAACTAGAAACTAATGTTCACCATTGAAAAACTCCTACTGATAAATGCTCAGTACAGTGTGAAAAGCACTTCCTGCCAAGTGTTCATTTATTCCTTAAAAAAAAAAAAAAAGATCTTGAAACTTTTTGTAGACTAAAACTCCCAAATGTCTAGCTTCTGGGGCTAAAGTATGGCTAACCCAATTAAGTATGAACTAAAGGTGTCTAAATTTTTAGATGAGAGACTAACCAGTCAAATAATGTGTCCTTGAGCCATTATCAAATGGAGAGATTCAAAATATAGATAACAATGCTTTAAATTCAGACTTAAAAAGGAGGGTCCTACTGTGACTTAAGAAAATTTTATAAGCTGGGAGTGAGGGAGTGTAGGTGGGCAAACATGCCTAAGACTTAAATTGGTTTTTAAAGGATGGACAATATTTGAATAAAATTGGGGAAACTATTTCATATAGTCATCATTTACATATAACTGGGTTGAAAATGAACACTGCACCAACCAGAAATGCAAAGAAAATAGTTTTTTGTGTGTTTTACAATAGTCGTAAGATTTATCTTGAGCCCAATACTGCAGGGAGTTGGTGGGGAGAGTGCTATAGGTGAGGGACACAAACTAACCAAATGTTGACTTCTTGGTCTCTCAAACCATTATTGATGACTTATTTTTAAGATAAATGCTCAACCCCATTTCCTTCTGGAGGCAATGGAGAAATAAGTGATTCTACGGAAAAAGAGTAGTTTGTGTGGTCACAGGGTTGTGAAAATTCCTGATCGCATTTCATCCTCTGTAGACCCTTCAAGGTAAGATGGAGGCATGCCATATCCTTTAATAATGGACTTGTTGAATTTTGTCATGCTGTCTTTACCAAGAACAGTCTAAATCTCACTCTAAATACTATAAATAGAAATGTTTTCTCAATTAGTGAGGAGCCTCCCCCTTCCCACATGGTATGCAAAATGTCACATCGATTTTTTCCATCTGAGGGATCCTACAGAGAAATAATCTCTTCTAAGGAATTGCAAGGCACGTTAAATGCTGTTCCCTTGTTTCTCTAAGAAAGAAACCGGATTCTAGAAATTTCTTTAGGCTTAGTAGTTTGGAAGTGTGGGGACTCAGGGAGACAAGGACGCCAGTCTTTTTTTTAAGCATCTGATTCTTCCCATTCAGGATTCCAACTGTGCTGCCCTTCTACATTGCTGACTAAAGTGACTAATTGCTCATCACTCACTTGGTAGCTCTCAGCTGTGTGTGTTCTCGCTCATGAGACCCCTCCCTGGGCTCTGCTACAAATCCTGAGGAAGGAAGAAGTTGAGGACAGAAGATCTGGTTGAAGAATCAGCTACGTGTTATACCTTGTGATTCAAAATTGCCTTTTCCTCCTGACCCTCATCCACTGTCTCTGGGCCATGCCTGTGAACCTCAACTCCCCTGCCACTTAGGACGCACTCATTCTCTATCAAGCATACCACCAGGGAAGTCTGAGCATAGCTTTTCTTATCAACCTGGGAGACCAGCCATCAATTCCAACAACTCTACTCATTGGTTTTCCCATGAGGCCTTCAGTCCATTTCAAGAAGGACTGGATGTGTCTGATTTCTCCATAACCCAGCTTAGGCCTCTCTTTGAGTCACCTACCACTAATCAAAAGTGTCCCGAGCATCCACACCTGCCAAGTCCTGAACTTCAGCTCAAGTTGGAATAAAAAGATGGAAAAGAATGTTTACACTGTAATACATCAGAAGCTAAGGAGGAATTAAAGGCAGATGGGGAAAAATTCCATCTTAAGACTAGACTGTAGAGGGTCTGGGAATGCTGTGGGTACTGGCAGTGTCTGGATGGTAAAGTGGGGCTAGATTATGGAGAACCTTTAATTCTGGGTGAAAATGATGAAATGAAACAAATCTTATTTCTTAAGCAGTGGTATTTCTGTGATTTATGTCAACAGTTTATTTTTGAATCTTAAAAAAAAAGTTATTTTGGTCACTTTAAATATACCACAGCACATTTTTAAACTCTTAGATTTTGTTAACACCTGCAGCTTTGTCATTGTACAAAATAAGTCACATTAAATGCTAAGTGGAAAAGCTTAAATTAAGTCTTTCAAGAATAGCCTCATCTGGAAACCAGTGCTTATGCTGAGGTTTTGGAGCACTACTATCTCTAATACCATGCTTATTCTTAACCTTGACTCTGTGATAGAACCTTAAGGAGATGTAAACAAAGGAAGCAAATTGCTTGCTGGTCATTCATCAAAATCATTAGTGAGTGTCTATTGACACATGATAGTATTCTAAGTACTGTTTATGAGGAAGTTAAAAACATGGTTCTCCCCTTTCACATTTACAACTCTAAAATGAATTTAATTCTAAAATCTCTAATGCCTTAAATCAAAATTCATATTGACTTTTAACCTATCATCATAAATCTGTTACATGATCTTCACTCTTTCAAGAATCCCCCAAAAATGCTTAATATGTTTTAGATGTTGAAGGCCTACTTTATTATTGACTGAGCACCAATCATGTGCTTGACCTTTACGTATAATGCCTAATTCAATCTTCAAAATGACCTGTGAGACAGACTTGCTTATCCTCATTTCAAAACAAGTAACCTGACACTCCACAAAGTTATGTAACAGGGTGTAGTTACACAGCTAAAAAGGACTTAACCCAGCTTTTCCTGACTGCACATCCTGTGCTCTTTCTCCATCACACGTTGCCTGAGCATCACGTTAAGAAAATATAATATATAGAGGATGCATTGAGGATATACCAGTATACCAGGAATGGAAGAGTCACAAATGTTGGCATGTCTGGTTATACCTAATGAAGTCAATTAGCAAAGAAATCTCCCCATGGAGAGGGAGACGTGTAGGTCCAGGTGTAAAGGATAAGTACTTTACAAGATACAGGTATCAGCATGTTCAAAGACAAATGCGAGTGAAAAAGCATGTTGGTTTCAGAGACTGTCCTGTGACTTCATCATGTTAAAGTACAGAGTGAGCATGGAGGAATGATACAAAGTGAATTAGGCAGGGAATAAATCATAAGAAGCTTCAAAGTGTTTTGCTTGATAAGAAAGTCTTGCTTACAAAAAAAAAAAACAAAAAAAACCCACAGTTTTATTTAAGGGAATTCTATGGTTATAACTGGTTCCTTTGCTCAAATTGCCAAATGGAAAATGCAGCAAAAATGACTTGTTCATTCACTCGCCATTAATTGAATATTGTAATATGCCAGAAACTGCTAGGCACTGGGGATACAAAGATGGGTAAGATACTTTCCTATTTAGGGTATTCTGTAATTGATAGCGAGGTTGACTTTCCATCATCCATCTCAGCAATTATGTTGGTGTAATAAAAATGTAACTTGGAGGATTGACCCTAGTCACAAGGCTGCATTGATTTTCCAAGTCAAATATAGGAACTCTAGCTCCTTTTCAAGTGATTCGTTCAGAAAACCAGATTTAAGCCAATTGGAGCTTGAAATGTCTTTGAGATAAGTCTTGTCCATAGGTGGATTCATAATCCAGTTTTTAAGAGGTTGATAGATTGATTAGTACACTACTTTATTCCAATAAACAGATTTGAGGCAGCCTGCACATATGCATGCAAAATAGCAGAATAAATAGTAAACTAATGAAAAATTGAGAATAAGGGCAATAAAAGAATAGTGAACAGCTATAGGAAGAAGCAAATTTCATCCTAATGTTCGTAGGAGAAAAAGCAAAAAGAAAGCGTGACTAGTTATAAGAAACACCAATTCCATGATAAAACAATAGTAATAGTAATAATAATCATCATAATAATAATAGCTTATACTTACTAAGTACTTATGTTCCAAGCACTATTCTAAGCACTTATGAAATATTAGTTCATGTAATCTACAGAAAAACCCTATAAGGGGGTAGAATTTTTATCCCCACCTTTGAAGCTAGAGAAAGTACAGCCCATAAAGGTTAAATAAATTATCAAAGTCTTTGATCTAATAAGTGAAAAAACTAAGTGAAAAGATAAAACAAATGAGTAGCTTAGGGGAAGCACAGTATTTTTGATACATTGTCAGAAAGAAATATCTCTCTTGGTTCCTTATAAAGGTAGATTTTTGCATTATAATCGTTAGCTTGGTTGTGAGATAATGCAGAAAATTCCATGGTGGATAAATAAGGTTTTTTTAAAGTATAGGGAAAAGTCCATGAAGGATAAGATTTAGAAGTAAAACCTGGATGCTCTGAGAGATGTTTGTGTTTCCTCTCAGCAGTTATAATCCTTTTCTCCACCAGATGAGTAAGGTTTCAAGTTTCAAAAGTATAGGCTTAAGCTGATTGTGAAATGAATCCTTCATTGGGGACTGGAAAATACTGGAAAATCTACTAGCTTAACAACTATCACATATGATTATATATATATATATATATATATATATATATATATATATATATA